CGACCGTCTGCCGCCCTTCTCCCCCCTAGCACTGCCTCGTGGCACGCCGGCCGGCGGGCCGGCGGACTATGAAAACAGCCAATGACTTTTCTTTTCTCTTTTTATTCGATTTTTCTCTCGTTCACTGAGGCGCTCCTCTGGATTCACACAACTGATTCCCGGCCTCATTAACCACATCATCGCAAAGGATGTGCCTTCAAACAAATGTTTTAAGGAAAGTGGAGTAACTGTGGAGGAGGAGATCGAACCAAAGAGATCGTCGAAAAAAGGTCACGTACAATGGAATGTCCAAACCTCAGTCATAGAGGAGGAAGACGAAACTGCAACAACTTCAGGGTAAGTGACAGAGAGGCCGAACGATAGATATTCATAACTGATCAGCACTTGCAGAACGTCCTTCCAACCAACCCCTAGAAGATCTTCGAGGCAGTTGGAGAGAGTCGATGAAATGATGATTCAACCTTTAGGAAGAGCTACGCAACATCGGCGGAGATCATCAGATTCTCCTCGGAAGGTTGCTATGATAAGACATAACTTCTTCGTGAAATACACTTTCGTTTCTCAACTCTGATTGTTTCAGGACCGTATAGGCTCAACGGTATCAACACAGATGGTGACATCCACTAATTCCAAGAAGGGCCCTGGTGCAGTCGTCATGAGTGACATTCCGTCAACTTCCAAAGCCGTACGAATGGGACGAGATGCGACCTCAAGCGGTCGTCGTAAGAGCCCATCTATGAGTCCAAATCGACTAAGCTCAGAAAAAACGAGCCATCGGCCACGATACTCTGTACCAGATGCTGGACAATCTTTGAGGTGAGTTTAATTTCGTAGCGATGATCACAAAAGCTTCGAAGAAGCGAGTCGACCCAGGGGAATCTTTAAGACCTAGTTTGCTCAAATTATGCAATACTTTCGACAAGTTACTCATTCGAGAAAGAAAAAAGTCGAAAAAGAAAAGTAAAGTTTGAAAACTACAATACAAATAACTCCAAAAATGAATATAATAAATCAAGTGAACACCCCAAAAAAGATGGTTGGTTAATTTCCCTCTTTCTGTTAATCACGCATTAGATATTAGAGTTTTCATAGAACGAGAAAAATTTGCTTGCTGCCGTTGCCTTCGCTTTATGTATTTCTACTATTCAGTGCAGATACTCTTTTTTGAAGTGGATAATACAATCTACTTTTCGAAAGCAGTCGTCAGTCTTGCGATCAGTAGACACAAGTTCCAAAAAAAGAAGGAGGAAGATTGTTACCAGTTGTGTAAACAAAATGTGAGCAACACAAAGTGTAGTTGATGAGAAGAGTATTATTCGTTTCGTCACGTACATTCAGACGAATCACTTGGTGGAGTTGTTTCTCGCTCATCAGTGGGTAAGAGTCAACTCTTCTATAAAATGACTGTTATTCATAAGTCTGAGCAAAGGAAAAAACACAAAGGAAAGGAAATTGATGTAAATAATTTCACCCCTTAACGAAGAACGTGAGAATCCTGTATTGCATTTTTATTTATTCCTAAAGGAATATTATACTTGATTAGCCTGTTAATGTATGTATTAAGCTCAGATTTCGTAGAGCATGTTATGTTTAGACCACCTATTTTTTTAGAACTACTATTAATAGGATACTTATATAGGTATTTATAGGTATATTTATACAAATTATTATATACATATAGGCGTACACTCATATGCATGCCCATACATCTGCAAATATATATATATATATATATATACATATATATAT